GTTCCCGGAGCACCTTTATAATTTCTTCCTTTACTTCCTCGGGGAGGCCGACTCCAATTCGGACCCGTCGGTCCGGCTGCGTGGAGTCGATCTCGACTTCTTCCAACTCGACGGCAGGCTCCGGACGTGGTATTATCGTCCTTTTTGGGGGCCTCTCGGTGATCTCATGGACCTGTATCTCGCGTTTGCCCATCCCCCTACATGCCTGTAGGTAGCAGTCGCGGGCGACCTTACGGTCACAGCGCACCGTGCCTATTCCGTTTGGCGTGCGGAATTTTAAACAAATATGCTCAATTGAAATCAGAGCTCCTAGATCCTCGAGACCCGGTCGGCCGAGTATAGCGTTATGCGAACAGGCCAGATTCACCACAATGAACTTCATGCTGAGTCTCTGTACGTCTGGGTAACTGCCGATCTCAACTGGAAGTGTGATCGATCCTTCCGCCTCCACCGAGTCCCCTGTGAAACCGGCGAGGGGAGTTTTGACAGGGCTCAGCTGTTCTCGAGTCATTCCCATTTTGATGAAGGTTTCTAGGTACAACACATTGACGCTGCTTCCGGTGTCTACCAGGATTCGTCGAACGACAACGCCATTGATGTCCATGGCTATAACCAACGCATCTCGATGCGGTATTTCCCCGGCTGGTAAATCTCGGTCGGTAAACACAATGGGCTCTCGGCACACCTTTTTAGGGTTCTCCTCGCGTCCGTACACCGTTCCGACGTATAACTGGCGGGCCCAGGCTTTCCTAGTGTTCGTTGAGTCACCACCTTCCGGCCCGCCGACTATCATGTTGATAACCGGCTTCTGACGCCACTGAGCCTCCTCCTCTTCGGGAGTCGGCTGCTTGCCTCGACTGTTTTCGGCAACGGCGGCGGGATCCTCATCCCCTCGATTGACCGATCTCCGCCTCCACTGATTAGGAGGCGGGGTTCCTTGCTGAATGATACCCTCCATGATCTTCTTCAGGTAGAAGCATTCCTCCGTGCTGTGAGTATAAGATTTATGATAACGACAATACTTAGAGGTCTTACCCATCTCTTCGTTCGTCGGGCGATCGTCGGTCGGCGGAGGCGGAGGCTGGGCAACCGCTTGTATCTCGTGGACCGGACGTTCGGGAATCGGCCGATAAGCGTGGACGAAGGGTCTGTCGTACGGCCGTCTGCCCTCGGGTCGCCGAGTTACGTCCGGGCGCCTTTCCTTGATTTCAACTCGCGTCCTCTTCCCGCTGGTGGATCCGCCGACTTCGCGCTGCCGCTTATACTTCATGGCCTGCTCTGTGTTGGCCATATGAATGGCTTCTGCGTAGGTGGCCGGGCGATTGTCCCTCAGGTCTCGGTATAGCTGGTCGGACCGCAAGGACTCAATGAAGAAGGTGAGCGTCGTCTGGTCCTCAACCTCCTCTATAGACTGGATTTCTTTCTGCCAGCGGGCCAGATAGGTTTTCAAGGACTCGCCTTCATCCTGACGAATATCGCCCAAGTGTGTTAGGTCCTTTTGTGGTTTGATATTAGCGGCATAATGGCTCATGAAGCGGTCTGCCAGCTCTTCAAAGTTGTGAATCGACCCCGAGGGCTGCGCTACTAGCCACCTTTGTGCTGACCCTTTCAACGTGGGTAAGAAAGCGCGGCACATGACCGGATCTCGTACCCCCAAAACCTGCATCTTAGCCTGGTAGCTCAGCAAATGTTCCCGGGGATCGCCAGTTCCATCGAACGTGGCCTGCTCCGGGAACTTGAAATCACCCGGTATCTTATAAGCCATAACCTCGTCCGAGAAGGGTAAGGCGGTCAGCAACGTACGTCCTGGGGATTTGGCTTTCCCCTCCATCCGTTCTTTTAGATTTCGCACTTCTTGTACTAAGTTCGCCACTTCGACCCTCTCCTGGGTGCGATTACCCGTGGATTCCGTGCTCTCATCGACTTCAGACTCAGCCGGTTGGTCGGGGTTGCGGGGGGGTTGCTCCACGCGACGAGTCTCAGTCCTGGCTCTTTTGGTACGGTTCTTCTCTCGTGCAGCTTGTCGATCGCGAGCGACTAACGGGGCACGACTGGGTTCCTTCCGACCCAATCGTTCTCTCGCCGATCGACGTCCCACGCTGGGGCCCAGCCGGGAATGAACGGACTGTACCGGTTGGCTTTCGGCCCGTCGGCCCTGTTGCCGGTTGTCGGGCCTATGAGGCGGCTGTAACTCGCGTTGCGGCTGGCGAGTGACGGACTGTTCTCTCATTCCTAGGCTTGCTTCGGCGCAGGCGCGTCCGATTGCACGCAGCTGCTCTGGGGTGAGCAGCACTTGGGGCAATTGTTGGTTTATCGGTGGTGTCGGCGGTGGTGTTGTCTCGTTTTCCCGGCTCCGGGCATTTCTCCGATTCAGCTGGCTTCTCAGGTCTGCCTCCCGTCCATTGTCATGACGGCTTGATTGTTCCTCACTTCCTGCCATGTCTGGAGCTTTTCTAATTCGACTGAGATTCTAATTGTCGTTCCTCAGACTCGCCTCACTCAAGAGGACACGTGACTCTTAGTTTCGATCCCCACGGACGGCGCTAGTGATGGTTTTAGGGTTTTCGGGCCCAAGGAGGTCCAACACAACCTTTGGCTGGAGGGTGCACCTTTCAATAAAAGGTATGCCTATCTCGGAGATAATGCTAGTGCTCGGAACCTTTTTGGTATTCTCCCCCTCTGGGTGTTCAATTGTCTCCCCTTTTACAAGAATGGAGGAGCCTTTATATAGCGGCTCCTCCTCTACCGACTTGAAGGCCCTTAATGGCCGACTTCATGGCTAATCAAGATATGGAGCCGTTGGACGCCATTACTTGGTCGACCAACGGCTCTTCCAGGCTTGTAACAACCTGACCGAGTCCCGCTTTCAATGCCCTAACGGCTCCCTTTTAAACGAGCCTCTTCAATGCTCTCAATGGCTCCTTGAACCGAGTCTTCCCCTGGGCTTGGGCCTCGGTCGACTCCTCGTCTCGGCCTAAGCTCCCTCCTCTTTAGTAGCTCTGAACCGGGCCCCGTGCTTGGGCCTGGGCCGGCTCCCGGACTCGGCCCAATTGCTTTTCGGACCCCTCTTTACACTGGCCCACTTCTCCTATCTATTTTCTTTGGGCCCCTATCTCTTGGGCTGGGGTCCTTACCCCATCAGTCTTCTTTTTACATTATCTTGTAATTAAATATCAAAGTTTTAATACAAAATATGTTTTATATATATATATATATATATATATATATATATATATATATATATATATATATGTGTGTGTGTGTGTGTATTTACCAAGTATTTTATACAAATATAATAAATATTAATATTTTGTTCAATACTTTCACACAACACAATCTCACAACGCATGAAACATATATGGGAAAAACTACCACTACCAAATATGGTAGTGGTAGTTTTTCCCATATATGTTTCATGCGTTGTGAGATTGTGTTGTGTGAAAGTATTGAACAAAATATTAATATTTATTATATTTGTATAAAATACTTGGTAAATACACACACACACACACACATATATATATATATATATATATATATATATATATATATATATATATATATATATATATATATATATAGGTTATTAATCAGGTGAGTACAAAGTGTTAGGTGTGGTTGTGAGGTCAGATTTACACCGTTAGATCATTAGGTTGTGCACGGTTGGGGTTGTGGCTGTGCAATCCCATATTTTGTGGGATTCTCTCGCTGGTTTTGGTAGGTGAATATTTGCACCGGGTTATTTGCGTAATCTTATCTTTTTTTTTTAAGGATCATGCGCGATATTGAGTAATGAGCCTTTAATTGCAAAGATTCCCCTGTGGGCGTTATTTCCCATCGGTCATCCGCCATCAGTCCAATGTCGACAGTACAAAATCCCTTATTTCCGTCGTTTGTGAGCCAGGGGCTTTCGATAGTTGTCGTCCGAAGACCGACATCGAGAAACAACATTGGCCGGTGGTGTGTTGTATTCGACTTGCCGCAATGTTGGCCCTCAACCGTAAGCGGACTCCGGTCACCAGTACCGCCGGCGGATCTTCCGTCCCAGGTAAGTCGTTTCCCTCTTCAATCTTCCCATATTTTCGGGCCTCAACTCGGGGGTTGTGTAATTTTGTATAGTAGTGGAAGTGTTTTAAGAGATTTTTGGTTCTGGTCTCTTAGTCTGGAGGCTGATTACAGATAGAAATCAGCGTCAGTTTAAACAATGGTTGTGTGTATTGCCCTGTTTTTATCTGTGGACATTGTGCAAATTGGTAACCACCAGTGTTGTTAGCCTCCTATTGACGGGCGTGTTAACAATTTAGTAATACTGAAATATGGTTGTCGTTTTGGATGTGTTGTGTTGTGTGTAACTGAAATAGGTATTCAGGATTGTGGTTCTATGTCAATATTTTTTTAGTTGTTTGAAGTTTGATTGCAGAGTTCGAGTTTTGGCTTGGTTTTTTAATTTTTTTTTTAATTTTTTTTTATTTTAATATCTTTATTTTTTAATTGTTGTTTTTGTTGGGGAGATGTGCCTGGGGCTAGTTTTTGGCACTATAATAAATAGTTGTGGCTGTGTGGTGGATTGCGTGTGTTGTTGTGATAATGGATCTTAGTTTTTATATAACACAGATATGAACTCAATGTGTTGTGTATAGATAGATGCATTTGACCTGCTACTACAAAAATATCTGCCATAAATTCAAATAGTAAACACCCATTAAAAACCTGGGTTTCGTATAGGTGTGCAGTGTTGATGTCGAACGGGTTTTGATGGCACCACTACGGATGAGTCTTGGTCCCTAAGCTGCACATATCGTTTAAAGATAATGTAGCACGGGGTGCATCCTTATGTCCATAGGTTATAATAACACTGCTCCCACCTATTCTTGTGTGATTATTTCTATTAATTTAATATCGGTGGCATTTTTTCCCAACGACTGTGTATATAATTTTTTTTAATGCTAAATTTAGGTGAATGTTTATCCCATTTTATTTCATGCTTTATGTGATCCGTGATGCAGTGGGACAGTACAGTGAATGAAAATGTAGACTACATTTTGGGTAATACAGTGCATGAGTATAGGGTTGTGCGAAATATGGTGTGCACTTGGGTGACGTTTCTTTTCTTAACCCCACACACACCACATACTTTCTTGTCACTATCGTTGCTGATTTTACTGCTGATGGTTATTTGTGTTCACATTTCTGCATTTTGGTTACTTTTGTTATAGGGACTAAACGACTGTGCGACAGTGTTGGGGGCGATGAGTGCGTCGTTGCTCTCCCTGGTCGTAGTGATGGAAAGATAACTAGGATATCAGTTGTTGAAGCCACCCCGCGAGCCGAGGGCACGACGGAAACCACACACGTCCCTAAACTTTCCCCTTTAGAAGAAGTTAAGTTTCCGTCATTTAACACCCGATGCACACCCAAGGACCTCATCCGTGCTATGAGTGAATTCAATGTACAACAAAGACAGGCCGTATCCGACATGGGAATGGGCGGTATTTTGTGTTTGGAAGTTAATGAGATCCCATTGCGACTAGGGTGTTGGTTGGTTAGTGTGTTCAACCCTAACAAGCTCACACTAAATGTCCAGCGCGAGATAGCTCTACCAATTACAAGAGAAGATGTTAGTGCTGTTCTGGGGCTCCCATTAGGGTCAACAGAGGTAGTGTGTCGGCCTAGTCAAAAAGTGGGGCCAGAGTTGAGGGAATGGCGGGCCAAAATTGGAAAGCGAGACAGCACAATAACCTTGAAGAAGGTATGTCAGGTGATGCTAACCTGTGAGGACGGTGGGGTTTGGTTCCAACGTCACTTTTGCGTGGCTGTTGCTACTGTTTTAATTGAAAGCACACAGAATGGTTATGTCAACCAGCAGTTTTTACACCAGCTAGAAGAAGTGGACAAGATACGGGACTTAGACTGGTGTGGGTACTTGCTTAAACGGTTAGTCAAAACTCACCATGATTGGGCAGAAGACAAGATGCAACGTTTTACGGGGCCACTCTTATTCCTATTGGTCTGAGACTGTTTTTACCATTTTTTGTGTTTAATTAACTTACCTTAAACGAGCCGGTTTATGTATGTGATTTATTCTTTCCAATTTTTTCCCTTGTTTTGATTTTGCAGTTGTTCTACATAGACAGAGTAGCGTTGGGCCCTCGGGTAATTCCTAGGAGTGTTCCTGCCTTAATTGGATGGACTGGAAAGCTTTTGAAGGAGCGTGAGTCTGCTGAGATTCGAGCGGGTGGATTTGGGATTGGTTGTGTGCTTGAACCGTTGCGGGATGTGATTGAAATAGAAGAGCACGAGGCTTTGGGCGGCAGTACAAAACAGGTCAGCGTTTTAGTTGTTAAAATATGTGGTGGAGCGAACACCTGTTTGTTTGAGGTGTGACAATGTACGGTTGTCACTGTTTCTATCGGTAGTGCATATGGTCTATATCTGGGGGTTTTGCTGCTCAAATTAGACGTAGAGTGCTTTGTGTTGGTGGGCTTTGTGCAATCCCGTAGTAGTACTCACCAATTTACCAAAGACTCGCGTTTTGTTGTGTTTGTATTTTCGTTCCACATGGAGATGTGTTTTCGTTGTGTTTCTTTGCCTTTGTTGGCACCTTTCCCTATTTGCCATTGTTGTATTATGAATAATTATTGTGTTCGCTCTTATTGTAGGGGTTTTCCGAGCTTTTAAAGGCCAAATCAAAACTCATAGTTTCCACTGTGGAAGAATTGATCGCGATGGCGAAGGAAGCCCCAGATGGGACGTTCGAAAACCCACACTTTAAAGAGGCGCTTGATGCTACCGAGAAGTTGTTCGGCATGAGACGAAGCCAACAACCACTGACTATACAGACCGGCACACAAGACGATGAAGCATTCTGGGTGGAGACTATCGCTGTAGCTGATGAGATTGAGGTTGGATACAAGACAACTGAGGAGGGGTTTGAACCACCTAGCTTTAGTTTAGGCTTGACACAAGAGTTTGGGGGGCCACAATTGGGTGTCTTAATCCAGAATCCACCAGAATGCACAGGGGGTGAGAATGCTGGCAGTTTAGATATATCATCTAGTGGGGGTGAATTGGGTGGTGTGGTCAGCGATGCACGTGGTGACAATAAAATCAAGGTCAGTGTGTTAGATTTCCAGAATTCTTTTTGTCTGTGGTGCTAGCCGTGGATTGATAAACGGTTGGAACATAGCAGGACCCAAACGGTGTTACCCCTCCAACACATGGGAGGCGCGTGATTTGTCCGGAGAATAGTGGGCCAATAGTCCAGGTACTAAACTGTTGTTGCAGTATCCTTTATGTGAGTCATTATTAATTAGTCTTGGTTTTGGTGGTGACATCTCACAGGGAAAACACACCAACAGCGATGCATTACCTATTTGTATTGGTGGATCGGCACCGAGGGCGCCTTTCAAGGAATTGCGTTGTGATGCAAGGTCAGGTGCTGAGTCTTTGGGGGGTTTGAACTTATTGAATAGGTATCCTAGGGGACAGACGGCGGTTGCTGCAATTCCCGATCCCAACCGGTTCTCTCTGTGGCAATGGTTCTTTCACCATCAAGACCGAAACTAGTTAGTACCATTTGCGTTATTCTACTTTCTACATACATTGCATGGCTATAACACTGAACACTTTTTTTTTGTGTGCTTTTAAAAACACTTTGCAGCACCGAGGAGGTTTTTTCGTATAACGGGAGGCATGTGCAGTTGAAAGACTTCATGTCTTTACAATTCGACAATGCAGTACGCATGCCAGTGGTGGACTGTTGGACGTGTGTTTTGAATGAGTTGGAGAAGGGTAGAAAGCCGGACGCCCCTAGTAGAGTGTTTGTTACGATATACACTTTGGTATGTGATGTACGACCCTTTCTTAAAGCATTATATATGTTACCTAACTATCTATGGCTCTTTGTTTCCCCTGCCACACATTGAATAGTTGAGCAATGTTATTTTCGCCACGGGTGACTGGGATGTACGCTTGGGGTGGTTTACTGAACGGCTGGATAAGGTGTTTGAGCGTGCACCACATATTGACTGCGCCACTGTAGACCTGGTAAAGTAACCAGTTACTAACACATTGTTTGTTTGAATTTTAAGTAAGTGGCCAATCATTTGCGTTTGACGAATTATAATGTTTGAGTGCAGTTTTTCTTCCCCATTCTGAAAGCAGCTCACTATTACGTCCTGTGTATCAACATGCGAAAGCGGAGGTTTGAAATCATTGACAACTCCCCGGTAGCTGGTAAAAACGAGGATAGATATGGCGCCATCCCACAGGAATTGGTAAGTGTATTGATGGAGAGTTGGTTAGCTTGGGTTGCAATGCCATTTGTGTGTGTGTTATAGCACTGTTAATTACAGGTTGAATTATCAGATTGGTATGCAATGAAACTACCTATGGTGTGATTTTGGCTAGGGGTGAGGGGGGTGGCTGGAGTCGTGATTACCTACGGTGTGATTTTGACCGTGGCTTCCACCATGGTGATTGAGTGAATTTGTTTTGAGTTATGGTTGGTGGGAATGGTGATATCTGGTCTGATTAGCTGTTGTTTTGTTATGTGTTTTTTCCCTTGATTTTGTAATTTGGTTTTTATTTGTTCCCCGACGATGCACGGCTTGACCGTATGGGTAGATATGATGGGTTTTATTGCTTTTGGTGTACTGAATTCACGTTTTGTTTCCCTGCCAGCTCGATATGCTATCAGCATATCTTCATAACAAACGCCAGGGGTTACGGTCAGCCTTTGTTGACAATATGAGGGCTATACGGATGCAGATGCCGTGGCGAGATAGTAAGCACAAAGAAGATTGCGGAGTTTACACAATGAGACACATGGAGGTGTACATGGGCGAGAAGTGCAAGGATTGGGAGTGTGGCTTGCAAAAGGGTGACCGGAATGAGCTCCGCAAGTTGCGCCAGAGATACTTGCACGACATATTGTTGTCCGAAATCAATGGGCACCGGGAAGCTATTGTTGTACGTACCAAAGCATACATTCGCCGGAACAAATGATGGCGACACTGATGTGTCGGTTGGAGGTGAAAGCGTTCCGCAATGAGATGCCTAGTTTTGGATCCCTGCATAATAAGTGGCTATACATTTTGTCAGCTTAATAATGTTATTTTCCATGTCCTGCCTCTTTATGATTTTTTTTGAATTGTTAATTAATCGAGTGGGTTGTTTTCTTCCTAGTATTGACACAGTGTTGCCTACTCGTAGTTATGAGTTGCACAAGTTAAGCATCCCTACGCCTGGCTAATTGAACTGTGCTGCTCAAACTGGGTGGGTTGTCATGTTATTTTTTAGACGTCAAAAGTAAAGTTGAATCTACTCTGATTAAGCACTACATAAATATTGACTTTGGAAAGCTAAAAGGCAAAAAAAAAAAAAAAAAAAAAAAGGGTAAAAAGATTGCGATATGATAAATGGTGGCTTGGAGGCTGCATGTAATTAAGCTAGCTGTAATATATTCTTAGGTGGCCCCTATTGCCTTGCTTTGAAATAAGTAGCAGTAGTTTTTAATTAAATTGCATGCATGTTCAATTTGTCGCATTATATTGGTGACGTGTTTGCAAATTTGCTATATTGACTTTCGATCTAATAATATGTACACACACTCACTCTCGTCTTTGAGTAGATCGAGTTTGGCGTGCACCGGCCTAGCGTACAATTAAATTTTAATAATGTGTGTTTTAATGATAAGATCTGTTAACGTGCACGGTAGTGTTTTCACTGCTTGCCCAGTACTAATCACAAGCATGCACCAACATTTAGCTTATTGCATTCAATAACACATGATTAAATATTGATAAACATCTTAGCTACCCGTGGAATTAATATGGCTCATTATAGACACTTAAAAGGCTACTAAGCATTAATTTGACTCATTTTTAATGTTAAGTAAAGTCGGTGCGGAGGGTCTGACACTTTGCCTAAAGGTTTTGCCTTATTTTAATTGCACCGAAGAAATGAAATGTAAAGAGTTAAACTTGATATGTATTTTGTGCATTACTACCACGTACACGGCACACGCCGTACTAGTAAATTAATAAAATCTTAACCTTGAGGTGTGGTTTGTGCATTACTACAACATATACGGCACAAGCATTAGTAGTAAATAAGAAACCATATACGCATGCATTGGCTATTGCGTGGCTAATATTTCTGTGGCAACAATTTTCTTTTGACTTAATCTGCCTCAGGTCCCGGGCCCCAACTCATTCCATGTCTGAAAGTCGGAATGCTTGAAGAAACAAAAATGAAGCATCATATGTGGTGTCATCTATTATTTCATGTCCACTGGGGGGTCTACATGGGCGTCTAAATGAGGGGATTGTTTTGCAGTGCAAGTGGATCCATGCTTCTACATTGCTTCCTTCATCCAACTAAATAATAATAATAAAAATAATAAAAATGGAAAAAAAAGAGGACACACGGGACGAGGTACAAATCCCACATTTATTTATTGCATTAGTAACCGAGGTTCATAGTGTATTGCAATTTAAAATAGGGGCACAATGATTTCTGATAGTGATAAGCACCCATGCAAAAAAAATTATATTGCTAGTGACTATTCAACTAACAACACCATCAGTTGTGATTAGCCATCACGAGTCCCCGGACTACTCAAAGGCTTTCTCCACCCCCCCCCCCCCCCTCCCCAATACGTGTTGCTCGAAGAACTTCACAAGTGCGACTATTGTGTCCCCCGTATTTGCCACACCCGTGACATTTCCTAACCCCCTTCAAAGACTGCTCAATGGCTTTTTCCCTTTTCCCTTTGAACCTCTTTCCACTACCTTTGTTTTTTGCAACATTTGGGGGCTTGACTGTCACTGCCAAAACCGGTTCCGATCCACAATATGATTGAATCATTGGATTATTTTTTGTGTGGTGTACTGGGCCATTGGTTTCCCCCACGAAAGAATCCTTTAGCTGGTGGATCACTTGGGTTAACCGTTCAACACGTTCTGAGCTGGTAATCGCCAACCCCACACATGCGAAGATCTCTGCCCACATTTTGTTCTCCTGAGTCTTGCTTTCATCGTCGTTGACATTTGATTGTATAGTAAGACCATCGTACTGAAACTCCGCGCGCAAACAAACCTTGCGAGTCCAGCGGTCTACTATGTATCTTGATGGGATGTTATCTACGTGGTTGTTTTTGAAAACTAAGAAAATGTGGCGGCACAACCATCCTAACCGCTGGAAAAGTGAGCACGTGCACGTTGCGCTACTGTCACTGGAGTTGTAGTGCACTTGGAACTGTTGGTTTTCACTCTCTTTTATGCCATAATTGATGACATCACCAGCACCATCAACGGACACTACCCCACACGAATAACAACCTGCATAAATTTCAGCTTGGACCTCGCGGAAAATTGTGACGGTGTACACGGCCAACGCATGACGTTCCATTTTCAAGTCCGTTTGTGTCGGTGCAAAATGACCTTCACACACCGCATTTAGCATGGTATGGATCTGACGTTGTGCATCTACTGCAGATTCGAAGTGACTGTAAAACTCCACCAAACTGGAGGTATGGGTTAAATACCTTCCAAAGAAACTGTTCTCGCCCTCGGATCGGGACGTGGTTCTAACTAGCCCACTGAGTATCATATCCTTGAAATAGGCGGGGATCCAATATCGACGTGCCTCCCACAACTGTGTGAACCAATTATGATCTAACAAGCCATACTCACCAAGCAACGCTTGCCACCTAGTCTCAAACACATCGGGCTGTTGAATTTCATCCCAAACAATAGCATTTAGCTTGCCCCGAAAGACCCCATCCTTAGACAACTCCGGACCAACCTTTTCGCCTACCTTCATCATAATATGCCACATGCAAAACCGGTGCCGAGTAGTTGGGTAAACTTCTGCTAGAGCAATCCTCATAGCAGGGTCCTGGTCTGTGACAAAACATGATGGGGCATCACCCATTGCCTCCTTGTAAGTCTCCAGCACCCAAACATATGACGCGACATCCTCTTTGGTGATCAGCGCCGCACCAAAAGTAACGCACCGCTTGTGGTTATCCACACCTGTGAAGGGTACGAAAACCATTTTGTACCTGGATCATTTGAGCAGAGTTAATAAGAGGTGCATGCATGCTATTATGAGGTGCTGTCTACTATGTATCTTGATGGGGCTTGTGAGTAAATGGGTGCTGGTCAGTGTGCTAAGATTGAACAGAGAAAGTGTGAGAATCTCTGGTTTTCAATAACCAAAAACATAACTGCAAAAAGAAATTACCTCTCCCTTTTAGACAAGTTAAAGGTAAAAAATTTGATGAAGTTCTAGATAAATCAGATTGTTAAAAATAAAATATTGAGTTCACTGCTAGCCAAACACACTTGAGTAGGATCATTTCTCCAAAGCTGTAGCAATTAGTAGTCAATTTGCACAACTATTTATTATAGTGCCAGAAACTAGCCCCAGGCACATCTCCCCAACAAAAACAAAAATAAAAAAAATAAAGATATTAAAATAAAATAAAAAAATAAAAAAATAAAAAAAATAAAAAAACCAAGCCAAAACTCGAACTCTGCAATCAAACTTCAAACAACTAAAAAAATATTGACATAGAACCACAATCCTGAATACCTATTTCAGTTACACACAACACAACACATCCAAAACGACAACCATATTTCAGTATTACTAAATTGTTAACACGCCCGTCAATAGGAGGCTAACAACACTGGTGGTTACCAATTTGCACAATGAATGTATATGATTATTCTTATTTTCCTGTTACAACATCCTTAAATAAGTAAGTTAAAACGTACCTATTCGTCGAGTACGTTGCATCGAAGGACACAATGTCGCCAAACACCGTGTGGTTGCGACGAGCTACCGGATCAGCCCAGAACACACGTCGTAATTGGTCGTTCTCATCAATGTCATGCTTATAATAAAACACGGCACACTTCTCATTTTTCCTCGACAACTTATCAAGTAAATACTGCGCATCACACCCCTCAATATACGCACGTAGGTCGCGTTTTGAGTTCTGGAAATCAACACTAGTTGCCCCAACATTTTCATATCCACCCACAAACTCACTTAAAAGCCTAACACCCTGACTTGTCCCCACGTTTGCCTTTGCGCAATTAGCCATGAACGCCTGGTGGCCAAAATCAAGTTTGCGGTTCACTTTCATGAACTGCCTAGACAGAGGAGTACACAACACATGAGTGTGCCTCTCCTCAAAGGAAAAGACCCAATACCCCCTGGTTTGGTCATTTTTAAATACGATCCTGGCCTTACACCCCACCCTATTGGAAACTCTACGACGCTTTTGAGTCACCGGGCGACTATCATCGTAAACCCCATGCCCCCCCGCATTGGGTGTGCCACCCGAGACAGACTTATATCCCTCGCGATTACAAAGCAAATGCCTCAAAATCACCTCCCCACCCCTATCCTTCTTCAGTGAACCACACCTAACATCAAACCCCACAAGAGCAGCATACTTTATATAGAATTCCTCACCCTCCGTTAGAGTTTTAAAAGTCTGACCTATGACTGGCTTACTCCCATCATCACATTGTGGCCACCAATACTTTGATGACCCAGGCGATATTTGTAGCCGACAACCTTCACCCACACCACTACAAGTAAGAAAACAAACAACCAGCATGATCATCTACACCGGAGAAAAAAACCATGTTAGAAATGAATTCAAACAGAAACGAAAGCTACAGCAAACACTACAAACCTGAACACGCACTCTACCCACTACAAGTAAGAAAACAAACAACACATCGTAAATATTAAATATATTTGGCCACACAATTGATTAAATAAACTATGATGACATAGTACACATGTTTGCACCGCATATCGACTTCATAGGGAAAGGCTTTACTATCCAAATCCTAATGTAATGAATTAAAATGAGAATAAGTCAGGTTAGAAATTTAGTTAAATCAGAGACCTAAAAGGAAAACACCAATATTGGTACATTTATATACAATGTGTTAGCGAGGTATAGAAATTATGGACATATTAGTAGACGTCCAGCAGCACTGCACCATCAACATAAAGAATAAGACACAACTACACCGGTTTAGTTACTGCTCTATAATAATTCCCCCACCCCTACAAAAAAGAGGTGTTTGAGCCTAAACCATGCGTGCTATCAAGAACGCATAAGCATATTGGACGCAAGGCTGGAATTCCCACATCGTTTAATGTATATATATTTGTCCACACAGATGAAAGAAAAAACTAAGATGACATACCAAACAAACCATCACACCAAAATAGTAATCCTTTCTTGCCGTACTAATCTGATATGCGTTTGGTGCACCACCCTAAAGCATCCATGTTCTACAGTGGTAATACACATAGCTACTAATCCCTTAAGAATTTGTATTCCTAAACACATAGTAATCTATAATTCCAACAGCACTGGGAAAAGAGAGCTTTAAGCCCTACACCCCAAAAACTGTGAAGCAAGCATATGCAATTCTTCCAGCCGTGCAAAGTGAACAGCTTCAACATAACCATGTTAAGGAAAAAAAAACACCGACTTAGGAAAAAAAAATGAGTGCACTTCTATCCAAAAACACTTGAGAAAGAATCATTTCTTCAAAGCACTACCAATTAGAAGCCAATAAAATGTAGGAAAATAAAAGAAATCAACAGGGCAGACTAGACATTCATATATGAACCTGATCCATTGAATCTCATCTGCACCCCAGGTTCAACAGAGCAGCTATGAGAATATCTTATTGAACTCCAATTTAACCAAAAAAAAAAAAAACCCACAATCTATTACTGCCTGTCCACCCCCACCCCCCGGCCCCTTTGACTGGAAAAGAAATCACAGCAAAAAGGATTAAGAAAAGAAAAGAAGAACAAACCAGTCGCCATCTGAGATCAGAACACTTTGCACGGGCAATAACTGCTGTGGAAACGAAAAGCACGATGGGAAGAAGTGACCAATGACTAGTAGTCCGGCAAGAGGGAAGTAGCACATGACGCCTTCGGGCTAGAATTGAAACGGAGTCGTCGGAGAGAACTTAGGAAAACGCCAATCCCCTCAACTTTTGGTGCGTGCAATAAATGAAATACTGAGATTACGATACTACCCACACTAGGAATACTGTGCAATTAAAAGGTCAATCTATACAGCAAATAATAAGACAGTGCAAAACGGTCAGTTAATATTGCACAACAAAAATTAACCGTTAGATTGCCTAAGATCAATGGCCACTAATCAACCACACAATCTCACCTAACAAATTATTCTCACCTGATTAGAATTCTATATATATATATATATATATATATATATATATATATATATATATATATTTAAAAATAATCATTGGGCATTATTCCATTCGCGCAAAGCGCATAAAACAACTAGTTTATATATATATATATATATATATATATATATATATATATATATATATATATATATATATATATATATATATATATATAATAGGTAAATAAATATTGAATTTGTTTATTTAAATTGGTAATTTAAAGTATATAAATGTAAGATAATATATGAGAAATTGATTCTTTTGTCACTAAAATAAATGTTTGCAACTTTGTAATAACACTAGTCTAAATACTTAGTTTAAAAACGATAGTCTAAATAAATACTACTTTTGGTTTAAATTTTTCTAATTCTTCTTAATTCTCTTTTGGGTAGCATTGTCATTGTTTTAATCTTTAGTACATGTCCTATTTATTTTTTATTTTTATTTTTATTTTTTATTTTTTATTGATAATGTGTCATGTGCAATTGGGTTACTGGTGGTAGCATAGATGGATTCATCGTGCAATGTGATTATGGTGTAGGAAGGTTTAGATTTGTCTTGTTGTGTATATGATGGGATCTTAGTTGTACTATTAACTCTTTATCTTACAAGCACCTATTGATATTGGGTAACGCACCTATTGATATTGGGTAACAATAGTTTTTCCCTTACATGTTTCATGCGTTGTGAGAAGTGTGTCGTAGGTTATCATGTGAAAGTATTGAACAAAATATTAATATTTATTATATTTATATAAAATACTTGGTAAATAAATAAATATATAAAATATATTTTGTATTATAACTTTGATATTTAATTACAAGATAATGTAAAAAGAAGACAATGGACAATGTAGTGAATATAATAAATTAATAAATTTGAAGGTAATGAATATTTGAATTGTAAAAAATAAAAATAATATGACTAATGAAATTATATATCTTTTAATTTTTTTTTTTAAAATAAAAGCATTATAGACATCTAATTCTAAATTAATTAAGTGCATATGTATTATTTTTTGTTGTAGCTACTAATTTATTATAATTTAATAAGAGTAATAAAGTGGCGTACATACTTTTCATCAACAATAATGAAATCATTGATTTTTTTTTAATTTACATTTGTTGTTGAGACAAATTGTTTTGATAGTTTGTCAATGACAATTGTTACAATTCCTGTCAATAGAAGATGATAATAAAGAATTCAGAATATATAGTTACAATAGATATTGTTATAATAATATAATAAAAATTAACATACAAATTTCTTTAGAAATTTTCACGCATTGATAAAATTATATATGATGTGTAAACTTATTCAATTAGAGCCAGTGGAATGTCAACATTGTCAATTCTTTGGAAAATGGTCCTACCGTTTTAGAGTCCAGGTGTAATTGTATTTATGATCAACAACTTTGTAGGTAGGTCGCACAAGTCTGACAATGATGTAAGAACAATTTTGTGTGATAAAAAAATAAAAGTATAATATTTGTAAAGTAATGTACAATTGTACCATTATAAAAATACATACAAAAATATTAATACCATAACGACCTAAATCATACCAATAATGCAAAAGTATAATTGAAATTTTACGTTTTGTTTTTGATAGACACCCCAAATCAGCCGCCTGGACGGGAAACCAGACTAGGCACCCGGATCTACAGGCGATGCATTACTTGATAGGAGGAAGATCCTCGGAGACCTCTTGGACACGGTATAGGACGTCTCATAAGTGGCAGCGACTCACCTTCTAGCAGCCAGCCCACCCACCAGCCGGTGAGTCCTCGGGCAGACTCTCAGAAGTAATGCGATCGGGCGACCAGCTACGGTAGTCGGCATGTCCCCGGCTGAACACCCCCAGAGGGTTTGGTTGGGCGACCATGCCACACGGACGGTGCGTCCTCGACCGCGTACCTTTCCGGGACCCAGCCGGGCGACCAGGCTTTGCGGATAGGGTACCATTGGCTTGGGGCAAGCACGCATGAAGGCGCCCCCGCGCAGTCGAGACCATTCATGACCGGGTGTCCACCCAGAGACGCGTATCAGCAGATTCTGCAGAAGCAATCTTTGCTTGTTAAGCAGTTTCCTTAGTTAATTTAGACGGTAAAGGAAATTAGTTAGCAGTTGCATCAGCCCTTACGTTAGCCCTACCTCTTTGACTCGGCTGAAACGCCAGCCCTACTTACCATGTATAAACCCCATATCTATGTATAAATATCCCCCTGGGATCATCATGCATCGGATCGGCATTTTTAGGACAAAAACCCTATAGAAATAAGACTACATTATTTTCTCTCTCATTGAGATCTTGATCCTTGTTTGCATCACCTCCAAAAACATAACAAACATCCGGTAGTGTTGGACTGCCGGGCAGCCATCGAGGCTGTGAAAACCAACATTGGCTCCATCTGTGGGGATCGAAACTAAAAGTCCCGTTCCTAAGCTTTACTAATGGCACGTACCAGACGCAGCAATCGCAACACCGGTCTCAACGCTGCAGCCCTGTCGGCTAACGGGCAGGTGACAGTTATCGCGAACCCGCAGATAGCCGCGCATCCGTTGGTGACATGAGGGAGCAGCTAAATCGCCATGCTTCCAGGTGGCAATCGGCTGCACGTACCACGCGTACTGTCGCGCCGACCCCTGAGCTGTCAAGGGGAAACCCGCCAGCACCTACCGCTCAGGCCCAAGCCAACTTCGCGGAGTTGTTGGCGCAAGCCTTCGAAGCATATGTGTGGGGGCGAGGACCGGAGCTCCCGGGCGAGATCTAGAGGCCCGCGCGATCGCTTCCTGCGGAGGCCCAGTGAGGAGTATCCAGGCATTCGGAACACTCGGGGATCAACTCGCCGGCTGATCGGGAGGCTAATCGCTCAGCGCACTCAAGGCTCGGGCCTGTAGCCCCGACGCAGTCGGTCATGGAGCGCCTCGGTGGACGGGGCGAATAGCGACCGCCTGCCTGGTCAACCACTGAGCAGTCGTGGGCAATCATTCAGAGGAGAGCGGCTGTCGGACAAAGGCGAGAAGCCACAGAAAGCATGGGAGAGTCATCCGCGCAACCCGGGCAGAGTAACCCAGACATGGCCGACCTATTCGCTGCCATACAGGAGCTGCGGCAGATAGTCGAAGGAAGAGATCGGTTGGTTGCAAATAGCCTCTTGACTGCCTCGCCCTTCTTGGCACAAGTGCAGGCTTATAGGGCGCCGACCGGATTCAAGCTGCCCGATCATCCCACTTACGATGGCACAGGGGATTCGCGCGACCATGTCATCAGTTTCCAAGCTAAGATACAGGTAATCGGGGCCGATGCTCTGATGATCTGTTGGGCATTATTCCCGACACTGACCGGGCCGGCTCAGAGGTGGTTCCTTAGGCTCCCCCCGGGATCCATCAACACTTTCGAGGAGTTAGCCACCCAGTTCCTGACACACTTCACTGGAAGTATGAAGCCGAAGAGATCTGTCTCGGATTTGGCCAAGATACACTAGGATGAAGGGGAGAGCCTACACAAGTATATTGCACGTTGGCAGAAAGAAGCGCAGGTGGTGGATGGCCTGGACGATCAGACAGCCTTGACGTTCTTCATCGAGTCCTTGAGAGCGGACGGGAACTATAGCCGGTTGCGGGACGAGAATCCCAAAACATACGCAGAGGCCATCCAGCGGGCCAACACGGAGGAAGCGGTGAGACAAAAGCATAGACAAGAAGTTTCTTCGAAAAGACCCCGGGCGGATAACCCTCACGAGGGGCAAGCGGCAGAGGGAGGCGTTACTCGTGTGAGAGCAAGTCGAATCATGGATCGACTAGGAGCTCCTGCCCCCGGCTGATGGCACAGCCTGTCCACGAGGTTCGCGCCTAGTTGCCTCCGCCTCCCCCTATTCGCCCAGGTGATAGGCCCCAATTGGT